AACGGGTCCAAATGGTTGTTTGAGTGTTTAAGGTTGCTGACCCCGGTCTAGCCCAAGCTACTAGCGACCAAAGTCCAAAAGCCCTATTTTAAGTTGATTGTAAACAACGTGCTTGGATCTGGGAAAGGACACCAGTTTTCTCTATTCTACACATTAACTAATTTCCTGGAAAAAAACCGCAAGAAGAAAAAAAAACTTCTGAAAGTGAAGAGAGGGATGTTTGCTCCACGCTTCTGAAGACAGAAGCGGAGAATTAAACATTTTATGGGGGAGAAATATACTGAAACGAAATGAATATAACACTTAAATCTGGATAAGTTTGTTTAACATCTCTTAAGATCTTCATTTTAAACTATGAAAATAGAAGATAACTCTTTATTTTGAAAACTGAAAAAAAATGAACTGGTGCTGACATCTAGTGGGGGATGAAAATTACAACAACAGTTGCTCTAATACAGGATTGTCAAAGTCAATTTCATTGAGAGTCGCATCAGCATTGTGGTTGTACTGGGGGTGTGTGTGGCCAGGATGGGCGTGGCCTATGGGGTGGGCGTGGCCAGCTCTACATCACTTGCATCAGGGGTGCCTGGGCAGGACTGGGGCAGATCTGAGGGTCTCCAGTGGAGGAGAGTGGGACTGGGGCGAGCGCCGGGACATGGTCCCTTCCACCCTCCCTCCCTTCCTTTCTCTATTCCTTCCTCCCTCCTTCCCACCCTCCCTCCCTTCCTCCCTGTTCTTTACTCCCTCCTTCCCTTTTTCCCTCCCTTGCTCCCACCCTCCGTTCCTTCCTCCCTCCCTCCGTTCCTCCCTGTTCCTTCCTCTGTTCCTTCCTTCTTCCCTCCCTTTTTCCCACCCTCCCTCCCTCCCTTCCTTCCTCCGTTCCTTCCTTCCTCTCACCTTCCATTCCTTCCTCTGTTCCTTTCTCCCTCCCTTTTCCCTCCCTTCCTTCTTTCCTCCGTCCCTCCCTCCCACCCTCCTTCCGTTTCTTCCTTCCTCTGTTCCTTCCTTCCTCCCTTTTTCCCTCGCTCCCACCATCCGTTCCTTCCTCCCTTCCTCCCACCTTCCATTGCTCCATTCCTTCCTCCCTCCCTCCGTTCCTTCCTTCACCTTCTCATCTGTTTCCTTCCCCCATTCTCAGGAAGGGGTGATGGGAGGGGGAGAGTGTTATGTTTCGGGATCGGCGAGCCATTGATGAGGCGATTGGTGCAAACCACAACTCTTTTATTAAGTTAGTACAGAAGCAGCACTAACTGCCGCTTAACCACTATTTATACAGATCACCGCTAGGCGGCGGCCAATAGAATTAAAGCAGTATTTCCCGCTTAAACACAAGCTAACGAGCATGTAGACCAGGGGTAGTCAACCTTGGCTCTTTTATGACTCGTGGACTTCAACTCCCAGAATTCCTGCTGGCTCAGGAATTCTGGCAGTTGAAGTCCACGAGTCATAAAAGAGCCAAGGTTGACTACCCCTGATGTAGACAGTCAGTCTGNGGGCTCTTGGGGAGGGGTTTTTAAAGGGGAAGAGGAGATTGACTGGGGGAAGGAGATTTTATTTTCTCTTTTCCAGAGAGACAAGCCAAAGGAGGGAGAGCGAGGTAGGAAGTTGGCAAAAAGGCTTTTTTGGGGGGTTATAAGCTTTTTATTCGTTTTTTCCATACAAACAATAATAATTTTTCAGCCAACATGCTATCCGAGTTTACATATGCTAATACATATTTATTTCCTAATCCTTTATTCTTTCCTCTAGCGTCTAGCCCCGTGGTGGCAAACCTCTAGCATGCGTGCCACAGGTGGCACGCAGAGCCCTCTCTGTGGGCACGCGCGCCGTTGCCCCAATCCTAGGCCTTCAGCTGGGTTTTATAAAACTTTTCCAGTTTCGGCCTCTGCCGCCGTATGCAAAAAAAAAAAAAAAAAGAGGTTCAATCAATCAATCAATTTCAACTTCTCGCTGGAAAAAAAAGATCTCGCAAAGTTGGAATTGATTGATTGAACTTTTT